TGCATTGAATATTAAATATTTTATAATATACCTCATGAAACAATTTTTGATAAAATTTGTTCATAATATGGCCTGCTTCCATCATATAAACAGATCTCATTAACATTAAATGTAATTCTAATTTATATTCTTCAGACATAATATTTTTGACTAATTTACTAGCACCATTATATCGCGAAATTAATATATCTGCTAAAATATTTTCTAATATTTTTCTGAATGGTAATATATAATTTGATACTTTTTCAAGTCTAAAATATAATATTTTATATTTAAAAAAATAATTTTTTTAAGAAAATTAGTACATATATAATAAGAACTTTAAAGATAAACCTTTTGAAGATATTAGTTTCTATTTTGATATTTTGAATTTTAAGAATATTAATATCATCAGAATTATTTCTTTTTAATAATTCAGGAGGAAGATAATCTTCAAAAGCTTTTAATAAAAATGGATTATTAAACTCAGTTAATTGTTTTGTAATATTTCTTTCAACATCTTCATCATATTCATTTTTTGTAACTTCTTCTTGTTGAGATGAAGATATTTCTTCCTTTTCTTGTTCATTTGTATTATATTTAGAAATTTCTGTTTCTAATTTAATATAAAATTCATCAACCAATGATCTCTTTAATTCTGAAAAAATTATATAATAAAATATTTACATATAAAAGTATACAAATATAAAGTTATTATATACCATTTTCTCTTATGTTAATTTTCCATATATCTGTAATTCGATCCAAAGATACTAATAATTCAATACTTTGTCCTATATGTTGTATTTTTTTTATTAAAAATTGCATAATTGGATCCATTAAACATATATTATCCAAAGATCTCAAAGAAAATGTTTCATATTGTGTGCTATTTTCTGAAATTGCACTATTTGATAACCTAATATGAATAAAAAATTTATTATTTATACTTATTATTTTACTATACATTCCTAGTTACCTTGCAATTATAAATTCTTCTCTCCAATCTTCAAATCGGCCTTCACTTAACCATGTATCGATTATATTTAAATAAACAGTAAAACTAGCTAAATATAAACTAATACAAATATTAGTTTTTTCTCGATTGTGTGAATTTTGTATTTCGAAATACAAAGATGATAATAGTTTAGATGCACACTTCCAATTTGGATGAAGTATCCAATTAGATATAGATTTTTTATGAACTTCATATAAAATTTTTATATTATATAAATTTTTTTTTAAAATTGATGATAAAGACAAAAATGTAAAATTACTATCTAAAATCCAATACAAATATAAATTAATAAATATAGTAAAAATATTTATAAATATTCATTAAATTTAAAGGAGATTATTATTTATACCTTGTTTCATAAGAGTTTTTTCTATATTAATTATTTCATTTTTAAATTGTATTAAATGTTGTCTCAAAATAGCATTATATGTCTCATATGTTAAGGGTGGTTTTTTACAAAAATCATCCTGTTTTGAATATAATCTAATTCCAAATTGTTCTATATCATATATCATTGAAAAATACTTACAAAATGGTAAAAGAATACTATTAAATGCAACCTGAAATATTTTATTAATAATCTTATATAATTGCACAATTTATAAATAAGTAAATTATTATATACTCACAATAGTTAAACTAGGTATTGATATATTAGGACGAATAGAAAATTCTTTTGTTTCTTCATTTTGTTGAAATACTACCATTTGTGATGGAGCATAAAACATCCATAACAATTCTCTACATACTACATATTCACTAAGGGTTCCTAATGTATAAAAATTTCTCTCATTTGCTTTATACCTATTTAATATTAATATATTGAAAATATGATATAAGAAAAAATAATAATACAAATAAATACGTACCAAATTTCACAAAAATGAGCATCAAAAAAATTGCTTTTAACTGGATATTTTCTCCATTCTAATTCATTCCACCAACTATTTTGAACATTTAACAATAGCCAATTTTTAGAGTTAAGTTCTTCATTCAGAGCTAAAGATAATTTATTTAATTCTTTTTCAACAGATGGTATACATATTGCTTTATTTGAATCTGTAATATTTATGGGTACTTCAAAATTTGAGTGTATATCTACATTGTCTTCTATATCATTAGACCATTCCTATTAGAAATAATTAAATAAATTATAATAAACATATAAATATATTTTATAAGTAATTTTTATAATTTAATCAAATATTACAAATAAAAGTATTTACACTATCCGTATCACTTTTATAATCATTGAAAAAATTTTCTTGTCCCTCTTTTAAATATTCAATCCAATCAATTTCCTCTGTAATTTCACTTTCATTTTCACCTGTTATATTAAAAGTACATTCTCCACGTGTTAATTTTAAAGTTTCTAAATCAGATTTATATGTTTCATTAGCTAATTCCAATAATAAAGTTAATAGATGCCACTGTAAATCATATTGTGGATGTTGTTCAAAATTAAAACTTAATACAAATGTATCAACAAGTTCCTCAAATTTTTTTGCTACATCATATTTTCCATGAATAGAGAATTTTTTAATTAAAGCTTTAACAGCGTTTTTTGTACTATTGCTGTCAACAGATAAATACCGATGGTGCTTAATATTTGTCATACAGAAACGTTCACAAATTTGAAATCCTTCTTCATTTTCCTAAATATAAATAATTTTATTTATTAAAATTTATAATTATTATTCTATTAATATTTTAATAAAAATTTTAATTTATGATTATAATTTTAGTTTAAAACAGATTAAGTAATAAATATGTATAAAATATTAATTACCTCAAAAGATGTAATTGCTGTTATTAATTGTTTTATATCATTATGAATATCATTTAGTATTTTTGTACCCATTTTTACTTAAAATAGAAAAAAAATAGAATTAAGATGAAAAATTAATTTGACATTGAACATTTAAAAAATGTAACGAAAAAAAAAAGTAAAAATGAATAGTTTATTCTTAATAGAAAATATTTTATTTCTAACCCTCTTTAAAAAAAATACTTTTATATGTTTATTTTTTATACAATTTAAACATTACACAATTATAAATATTTTTTTTATATATAATTTTAGTTTCATAATAATAAGATTGAAATACTCGTTTTATTAAAATGACAATTCTATCAAATATTTCTAGAAACAAAAAATAATGAATAGCATGCGCATAACTTTCAAAACATTAAACTCCATTTTTAAATAATAAAATTAAATTCTTTTATAATATAAAATAAATGAAAACGATATAAAGAGAAAAAATTATTTTTCTTACTTGAAATTCATTATACTGTTTATGTTATGCTGGAAATAAAATAAAAATAATCTTTTAAGAGACTAAAATTTCGTCGAAATAATAATAATTTGTAATAATATTAAGTATTTACTTAAGATTAATGTTATAAAAATAAATATATATAATGTCATATTTTTTTTTAATTATAAAAAATTGCTTTTATTAAAAAAATTAAAAATAAAATATTATTTTAATAAAATATTTTTAAAAATGTAAAAAGATATTATTATGCATATTATTTATATTTATTTTAGAATCGATGATCATTTCGAATAACAATTTATTATATTAATTTGCAATTTAGAAAAAACGAAAAAATTAACATAATGAAAATTATATTTATATTTCTAAAATTAAAATTATATTTTTTCAAATTTTAAAATTTAATATTTTTTAAAATAATATTTACAATATATGATAAGTATTTAAAAATCAAAACTATTTCTTGAGCACATAAATTTTACAAAGTATAAATAACAAAATGAGGAAAAAATGCTAAAGATATTTATTTAAAAGTAAAATAGAGTTTGAATTGAAGATTAACGCCATCTCGTGAATATTTTTAAAAAAATATCTTTAACATTCAAGAAATAACAGACGATTAATTCTTATCTTGCTACTTTATTTTTTTTATTTGATTAGTTTCATTTGTGACACTCTGGAAATTGTGTTGATTGCTTAATTTCGATTTTATTTGTTTTTTTTATATTTGTTCTGTTTGTTTATAGTTGCTTTGTAAAATTTATTAAAATTCATTCGAGATGATTTTGATATTTGATTAAAAATCAAAAGACAACGAGAAAAAATAAAAATAAAAAAAGCTTATGTTATATATATATATAATTTTATTATATTATAATTTTAATAATAAAGAGAAAGAAATTTTTTTATTTTAAATTACGTTTAAGTAATTTAAGTAAGTAATAACAATTAAGAATAATAATAGTTAATAATTAAAAATAATAATTAATATAAATTAAATGAAAATTAATATAAATTAAATGTAAAAATGTATGTAAAAATATGTATTATGTATATTTAAATAAATGTATAATATATTTAAAACTTTATATTTTTCTAAAATTAAGATTAAGTAATAAAAATTTTAAACAAGAATAAAAATAATATATATATAAACAATATTATAATTTCGTGGTAGAATTTATTTAATAAAAACATAAACTAAGATTACAATTAGTTAAATTTAGATAAGATAATATTTTATATTCATATACAATAAACATATTTTATATATTATAATCTTTTACATAGAGAAGAATATAAAATTTATTTCTATATAATCATGATGGAAGACCTGTATAACTCAGTCAAACAATGAAATCTTATATAAACATAAAAATAATAATGCATGCTCTAAATATGTTTAAATTTATAATTGCTTTTTTTTATTTTGGTCCCATATTAGGGAGAACCAAAAATATTTTATGGAATGCATAATAACATGTTATATATTACCAGTAATTATTTTAAATTTATAATATTCTCATAAAAAAGTTTTTGTTTAAATACATATTGTATATATGTTAATTTTTATTATAAATTTTATCTATTATCAATTATTACTTTAAAAATGTACAAATAATTTTTTATTTTTATATAATAAAAATTAAATTTTTAAATTTAATTTTATTTGAAATAAATTATATGATTCTGATGGAATGAATAAATTAAATTTTGTAAACTTGGCTTCAATGGAAGAATTATTGTTTAAACACTCATAACTAACATATTTAAACTTCCTAAGAAGTTTATTTCAATACAAAAGAAATTTATAACATGATAAAAATAATGATAATGATTATCAATATACATTAATACATACATAGTATATTAACTGATAATAATGTTATATAAAAATAAATATCGAATTATTTTATTAATATATGTATATGAAAGTGCGTTTGTTTCAGAGAAACACTAAATTTTATAATTACAGTTCGTCCTTTTCATCAAGATCTATATCACTAAGATCGATTTCTTCTTCTTGTGGAAGTTCAGCATCTTTACCATCCCACGATTTAGTTTCAAGAATTGTTGGTAATTGAGCTCCTTTTAAAGGTGCTGTACCTCCTCGTCCATAACTTAAATCTCGTAAAAATTCATTTATACCATCATATGAAAAACTACCCTTTAATAAAGAATATTTCATTTTCTTTATATTTACAGCTGCTAATGCTGGATAACCAAAACCTCCAATTTCTAACGCTTCCTCGATATGAGGTTGAGCACCAGCTTCAGTCCAAACCCAACTATAAAAAAATATATATATTGTTTTTAAAATTCTATTTTCATTAAATGATAAATAAGACGGATAACATACCCCCACATTTTTTGTTTATATTTTTCTCCAAGTTCATTTAATATTTTTAAATAGCCATTTCTGCATTCTGATTGACAATCTAAAATATGCGGTAAAACGGATATAACACATAACGGTTTATTTTCACATACTTCTCTTAAACCCTTTTCATTTATAATTTGAAGTACTTCTGGTGCTGGAACATTTTCTGCCAATTTCTCTAATGCCCAATTTACTATATCACTACTTGTGCGACCACCATCATATTCTTGCACAAAATCAGTAGATTTTTTACCAGGTGCAAAATATTTAATAGTAGGATATCCTTTTATTTCATATTGGCTAGCCTAACATAACATTAAGATTTGATTGAAAATCAATATTATATACATAATTTTAAATAATATTTTTAAAATGAAAATTACTTACTTTTATTCTATTTGCAGTAGCATCAATTGCTCCTAATTTAACTTTACCTTTAAGTTCTGATGCTGCAGATGCCCAAATAGGAGCTAAATTTTTACAATGACCACACCATGGTGCATAAAACTCAATTAACCACATATCATCTGAATTCATTACTATATTATCAAAATTATCATCTGTTAATTCAATTACATCTTTGGAATCTTTAGACTGTAATAACAATAAAAAATTTTCAATTATTAATTAATAATTGAAATTTCTTAAATTTTTTAAATTATTTATCTTTTCCTTTTTATTTATTTTTATTTTTTATGTAATTATATTTACCTTAAAATCCCCAGTACTTCTTTTTCCTCCTAAAATTCTACGTGCTTTTTGACCAGCTCCATTTAAAGCAGCATCAACAATTCCTGCTGCAGTTCTTGGTCCATTATAATCTTCTGGTTTATTATCAATACCAAAGATTTTAATCGTAGGAAAACCTTGTATTCCATATTTTGCTCCAAGAGATTTATGTTCATCTGCATTTATTGCACCAACTTTTACAATACCCTATAAAAATTTATATTACAAGTTTCTAATAGAACAAAAAAATAAATTATTTTTAAATAAAGTAAAATATTTTTATATATATTTAATACAAAAATTACTTTTTATTTAATACAGTATTTATATTTAATATAAAAATTACTTTTAGTGCAGTTGCAGCTTTGTTATATTCAGGTGTCAACATTTGACAATGTCCACACCACGGTGCAAAAAATTCCACAACCCATATATTATCACTATTTAATACCAAATTGTCAAAATTGTTTGGTTTTAGATTTACGACATCTGAATTGGAGTACAAACAATGAGCTCCAGAAATTAACAGCAAAATACCTAAATAAAACAAATATAGCAATATTAAATTATTCTCAACTAATATAAAATCAAATATTAAAAATCAAATAAAAATAAAAATATTAATTGAAAAGATAGAAATGTATATATTATAACGATATATATTTACCGGTAAGATTTAATACTTTAATAAATGAGATATATATTATGTATATATTGGTTTTTAAAACTTACCTAAAAATTCTTGCATTTTACTTAGCAAAATAAGACAATGAGTTTACAATTTCTTTCAAGAAATCATTCACAGAAAAATCTTTCAAATATAAGAATAAAACGAATACAATTTTTCCTTGCAAAATTCAATCGTCCTATCTGTTTCTCCACTCTTTATAACCAAATATAATTTTTCGTGGATTGTTCTGATTGGTCATTCATAATCAACAAATATTCGCTACAATGGAATCATCCATTTCAATGAGAATAGCCAAAATTAGACTATTTAATTTATAAATTAAAATTATTACATTTCATTTTCTTTATAAAAAAAAAATATTATTATAAACTTGATAAAAAATGATGCAAATAGATGATATAAGTATTTCTATATAATATATAGAATGAATTATACTTATTAAATATGATTGATTTTTGTGCACTAACAATTACTTAATAAAGTTCTATTATTTAAACTAATATATTATAATTATTTTATATATAATATGTTTATAAAATAATAAAGTTGATTAGAATAAAATAAGTACTGATATTCAATAATATTTATAATACTATTTAATATTTGATTATGAAATTTCGATTTAATATATACAAAATCTATATTATTAATTTTCATTCTCAAATTTTTTATTACATATTTATTCTATATTAAAAAGTTAATACTTATCTATTTTAGATTAAAAATAAATTATTTAAAATTGAAAATATATTATAATTCATTATCTACTAATAAAAATATAATCTATTTTAGGTACAAAGTATAGTGAGAATAAATTTGGTAACAAAATCATATTTCTATATATAATTAATCAAGTTTATTTATAAGAAATTATTAGTTTGAGATTCCTTCGATTTTTTGCTTACAAAATTTTTGATTCAATATATATTTTTATTTTTAAATCATAAAAAAATGCAATAAAATAATCATAATTTAATATAATAATGTGAACAATATACTATTAATATTTTCTATATTTATATTAAAATAAATATTAAAATGTAATAACATAAAAATAATTAAAATTACTAAACTTAACAAAAATCAGTAAATATTAAAATTTGTTCTTTTTCTAGTATAAAATGATCGAATATATATTTTTTTACATTAATAAAATCATCATCACAAAGATTTTAACTTTTAAATCCTATTTTCAAAAAACAAAACAATATCATTTAATCAACTTTATAAATAAACTTATACAAAATAATCTTATCTTTAACAATATAGATAATCATAAGTATATTTTAGCTTATGATATAAATGAAGTATATTAAAAATATAATCATCTAAATAAATTATAAAAATAAAAAATCGAATAAAATATGAACAGATTTCAGATAGGACCAGCTTCATCTAATGCAAACTTTAATTGTTTATAACTTAAATAAATTTTAATCGAAATTTTTATATATTTTTGTTTTCTAGAATCGATATGCTAGACGTAAAGGTATCTCATACATTATACATTAATACTTTATATATAAATTATATCATATTTTTATAAAAAAACTAAAATAAAAAATTAATACTTATAAATTTTATAAAATTTAAGTTTAGAGATTTATGCTAGTATATGCAATATAATTAATTACTATGAATATGAAATCGATTTGTGCTGCAATATATTATTGCGCAATATATATTAATACATATATTATTATAGTATATTTTGTTGTATCATTATTTCTTATCTGATGAAATATATATAACAAACAAAAATTTTATAAAATCATGAAAATTAGATTACATCTATATTGAATACAACTATACAAGATTTATTTCTACCATAGTTTATAGTCTAAGACTCTATAAGATATTAATAAAATAAATTTCTATATATATTTTTAGTTACTTAATACTATAATAATTTAATTATATAAAAGTTATAAAATTAATTATATAAAGTTATTAAAAGATTGAAATTTTAACATATTCAAAAATGTCGCAAAATCAATATAAAAATGTTACACATTGTATTTTTGATATGGATGGGTTATTGCTTAGTAAGTGATTTGTATTATCTTAACTTATATTATATTTATATCCAATAAATTAATATATACAGAGAAGGATTATTTAATTAATAATTAAAACTTGTATTTAATATAATAATTAAAAATAAATATTTTATTTTACAAAGTTTATATTCTTATAAGTTGGACAAAATCTAATCTAATCTGTAAATAAGTAAATATTCATTTATAAGAATAAAGTAATTTTGTTTTGTCTATGTATATATAGAAATGAATAAAATCTCAATGGCAATTATTAAGAAATATGAAGAATATAGATTAAAGTACATCATGCATCTTTATGGACAGATACTACTGTCAATGAAAAGGTTAAAATAACACTCATCATGCGTGAGTTGGGAAATTGTATTAGAATTTTATATATATATATTATATATATTTTTGAACATATATATAAATATTCTTATTAAAAATTATTCATTTTAAGTATAAAATTACTTTCAACAATTTTCATAAATTAATATTTATAAATCAATTTAAATCAGTAATTCATAAGTAAATTTTATATTGCACATTAATTATATAAATAATTGCATTAATTATATTAAAATCTTAATAGATACAGAACTACTTTACACTGAAGCCTTTAATCGTATTATAAGTTTCTATGGAAAAGAATTTACATGGGAACATAAAGCAAAAATTATGGGTTTTAAATCTAAGGAAGTTGGACAAGCTTTGATTGAAATGTTTTCTTTACCAATAACAGTAGAAGAATTTGAAAATAAGATAACTAAAATATATCAGGAATTATTCCCCTCTGCAAATCTTATGCCAGGTAATTTATGAAATTATATTATATTATATAATTATATATTAGAAATTATTAAAAATAATAATAAAACTTTAAGAATTTATAGTATATATTAAAAGAAGTAATATTTAATTAATAAAACATTTAATTTAGATTGAATTTAAAATTGTTAGATTTAATTATTTATATTAAATATAAATAAGAAAATGTATCTAAAAGTGATTAAAATCTTAAAATTAATCTTAAAAAAATTTAAGCAAAAAGATATGATAAAAGATTGTTAGTAATATTAATAAAAATCATAATAATATTAAAAATAATAATAATATAATATAAAATTTTTTTTTTCATTTAAATGCAAAATTTATAAATGTAAATTATTTTTGTAAAATGAATAAAATAAAATTTTTTAAATTGAATTAAATTAACTTATTCTTTATAAATATATCAGAATAAATTAATTATTGTATTTATTGCAAAAACTATTTTTTATGCAGATATTGATATGATTATATTTATGTGCAATAATTTTAAAGAAAAGAATTTTATCTGTTTAATATTTTAGATTAAAAATTATTGTGAAATTTTTTTCTCTTAATAAAAAGTTTTTGTAAGTTCTTTTTTTTTTAAGCTTTTTTAAAAAGATTTTATATAAATTTAAAAAAAGATTTTTAAAAATTATTTTTAAATACAATTTTTAACAATTTTTTTTAACATAATTATTAAATATAATTATTTTATCATAAAATCTTATTTTAAAATATACAATTATTGAAAAATAGGTGCTGAACAATTGTTGCAACATCTAAAAGAAAATAATATTCCAATAGCATTAGCTACAAGTTCAAATAAAGAAAATTTTGAATTAAAAACTCAAAGATGGAAAAATATATTTGATTTGTTTAATCATAAAGTTCTTGGTGGTTCTGATCCTGATGTTATTAATGGTAAACCAGCACCTGATATTTTTTTAATTGCTGCAAAACGTTTTATTGACAATCCTGATCCGTCAAAGGTTTGTTACAATTTATATTTTTTTTTCCCCATATATTTATTTATAAATTTAATTTATTATTAAAAATTTAATAATTTATTATTTATTATAAATTTAATTTATTATATTTTTAGTGTCTTGTGTTTGAGGATGCTCCAAATGGTGTAAAAGCTGCATTTAATGCTGGGATGCAAGTTGTTATGGTTCCGGATCCAATGTTACCAAATCATTATATTGAAAATCCAACAATAATACTAAATAGTCTTGAAGAATTTCAACCTGAACTATTTGGTTTACCACCATATAATAGATAATTTGTGTGGAATATATTTCTAAGAGATAGTAATAATACTTAATGTGTCATTAAACTAATTTTCTTATTAATAAATTAATTAATAAATTTTAAGTTGTCAATTTCTATTTAAAATTAATATTAATTCTCCAATTTTTTTTTCTTATTAAGATTTTTTTAAATTAAATAAATTAATGTTCAATACATTTTAATTACAAGTGAAAAAATTTAAAACTTAAACTATACTTAAAATAGAATATATGAACACAAATTGAATATAAATTTTTTATATGAGATTGATTAAGCATGTTCTCATGAACTTGTATGCCGTTTGACGAACTTTTCATTTATACAAATTTGTATTCATTGTTCATCTTATTAAAATTGTTATAGATCGTCTAGAAATATAATATTTTCTTAAAATATGTCAAAAATTAACTGCTAGAAATTATGTTATTTTCATTAATACAAGCATAAAGGTTATTTATAATAAGTAGAAGTTATTTTATATTGCTATTTAACGTTTCGCGTTTTTTATTCATATAAAACGTAAAAAAAAAAAATTTTGATAAAATATATTTAAATATACTTAAAAAAAAATTATTAAATTAATTTTACTGAAACAGAAAAATTTAAATTATATCAAATCAGTAGCAATTATTTATTTTGTTAATGTAATAAATTAAAAATATTTTTTTTAAATATTACTTACCATTTCATTATCTGATCCATCTGATATTTCTATAATATCTGTATATAAACTTGGTATTTTTGATTGTTCATCAATATTTAAAAAAATTGTATCTAAACATACAACAGAAAATGCATTTCTTCTTAACATCTTTTCCATTGTTTCTTTTAAAGAATCATATGCTTCTCTCATGCCTTGTGGATATTGAGATAACAAATCTAAAAATAAATTCATTTTTAAATTATATAATAGTTTTTTTTATTATTTTTTTTAGATAAAAAAGAAAAAAGAAAATTTGAATACTTGCTTTTATATTTTGATTGACTCACATTAAAAAGGTGGAAATAAAAATACATTTGATTATAAAGTTTTGTATCTGTAAACTTTAAATAATAATGAATTTTAATATATTTAAAATATTTGTAGAATATGTATATATATTTTTAACTTACAACTCTATGTAATTCACCATCTTTACATTTCCTACAAGTTGGATATGTTGAATTAAATCCTAATGGTAATATTTGTGTTTGTTTACCACATATTGGATTTTCACATTCTAACCATCCTTCATAATATTCACTAACTGCTTTTCGTACAGCAAGTGTCATTGCATTTTGTATTATATGAACATATGTCCATGGTGGTATCTTACAATCTGGATTTGAACAGGAAGCAAGTGATAATTGATTTCCTGTAGACTATAAAATTTTATAATAAATAACAAATAAATTAAAAAATAAATATATATAAAAGAGAAAAATGCTTATTGATTTACTGTTTCGATTATAATATTTTTAAGTATAATTTCTGACTGACATTTCTCATCTTTACAATTAAATTTCAAAGGAAGACAATACTTAAATTTATCTTCATCTGTTAATGGTATATCACTGTATTCTTCATGTATCATTCTCTTAGATTTATAAATATTATCTACACCTATCAACAAAATTTTATTTATGATATTTAATAATTTATATACAATTTTATTATAATTGATATCAACTAAAATTTTACCAAGACATTTAGCTAATAAAACATCATCAAATCCTTCAATTGGGTCACAAATTCGTAAAACAATAGGAAAAATTTGACTTAATAAATAATAATTAACATCTATTTTTAAAAAATCATTCTTTTTATATTCATCAATATGATATGCTCTTTCAGTTGCAGATTTTTCAGTTCCATCCTAACAAAAAAATAATTATATATTTTATGATGTTTATAATAATGCATATATACATATATAAAAATGAAATGATGAAATAAATTAACAAATACGAACGTCACATATAATATAAGGAACAGTATCTCCAGTTTTCCACATTCTACCACCTTCTTTGTTTAATCGTAAAGCTACTTGAACATGAGCTTGTTTAGTATCCGGATATTCATTTGGATTTTTAGATAATTGTTTTGTAATGACCAAAGATGATAAGGAAATTTGATTTTCTCGAACATTTTGTGCAACATCATGTAATATCATAAAAATTTGTTCTATTCGATCTTCACATGGTTGATTAGAAAGAAGGTGATCCAAAATTTTTCTAAAAGCGATGATTATTATAAATAATATTAGATATGATTTAAGATTTTGTTTAAAAAATAATTTATTTATATTTTACTTACTTTCCAGTATCACAAGCTAATTGACACCAATCTCTTCTTACAATATCAAGACCTTTATGTTCTTGTGTTAATTCTATTTGTCCATTAGGTAATTTTGTCATTATAACTGCAGCATATTTTTTTTTTTGTAAAAGCAATAAATAACGGAAAACCCCATCAATATCTAGTTCTACTCGTTTATATAATTTGTTGACTTCTTGTTTAATCTATAAATAATTTATTAGTATTAATTTTTTGGAGTAAAAAATAATTATTTTATATATTATTATATATTATATTATTCATATAATACTTACTTTTTTTCCAACAGAAAAAACTTCTTCATAATCTAATAAATTTGTATTTATCATTATAGAATCAGTATCTCCATATATAACTTCATAATTTAATTTTTCAACAAGACTTTTTGTATGCTGTAAAATTTCTCGACCTTTTGCTGTATTAATTAAACGTATTTAATATTTTATATATAAATTTTCAAATAAAATTATATTTTAATTCATACTTTACCTGTAACCATGGCAGCAAGTCCTTTTGCATAAAATCTACAATGAGTTGCACCTAAACAACCATACATAGAATTTGCTGTAAGTTTTAAAGCCAATTGTCTAATATTATATTGCATCTTTAATTCAGGTGAAATATTTGTTGCTTTCATTAATTTCTTTACTTCTCCTCTACTTTCGACTAATTTGCGAATTTCCGTTGGAATTATTCCAGATTCTAAATTTGACTCAGGAATTGATAAATTCTGTAATGAATGAAGTGAGGCTCAAATTGATTGTTTTTAATTCATAATAATAAATAAATTTACCCCATAATCAGCATATGCAGCTCCAGGAACAGTAGTAAAACATAAATTATATTCTTGAATTATACTAGGATATAAAGAATTAAAATCCATTAATAAAATAAGTTTATCATAAAATCCCTTTTTTGGTTCAAGAACTAAACCACCAGTATAAGCTGCTTTTTTTCTAGTAATATTTTCTACATATAGAATAATAATGATTATAAATAAATTATAAATATATTAGAAAATAATAAATATTTAAAAAAATATATATATACCTTCATTATCTTTTCCTTTTTTCATAATGCGTTTATCAGGTGTTATATAATGTTTCAGATGAAATGCATGTAATAATAAATATTCATTTCTTTCTGCACGGCCTGCTGTTAATGTTCTTGATATAACATTTCCTATATAAATAAAATAAATATATATTAAGTAAAAAAATTATTATTTTTAACATTTATATACACATACCAGCAATACATGTAATTTGTAAAGCAAGTGGAAGGATATTGAGATCAAAAACAATAGATAAAATATACAATGCTTCTGTCAATGTTATTTTAATTAAATTATCTATTTTGTTTGAGGTATCATAAAATGCAGCACATTCACCGGGTTTTATTTCTTTGCATTCATTTTCCTTTTTCTTCAATACCTATTAAAATAATTGTAATTTAGCTTTTTAAATATTAGAAAATTTCAAAAAAATTAATTTCAAATATTTACTGTTGTACAAAGAGATTGCAAATCATAACTTCTAACTTTGAGGTTTAACTCTTTAGCTGATACTTGTATATCACAAATGGGTCGACCAGCTAATACTTGATTTAAATTTATTTTTCCCTAAAATATATTTCTTTAATTTTTTTTTTATAATACATATTTTACTTATATAATATATATACATATTATATATATTATATATATAATATATATATATATATAATATATACTATATTATATATATATATATATATACTATATATTATATATATAATATATATAATAATATGTAGTATATACATATATACTATACTCTTATCAAAGGAGGTGTTGAACGTCTTAGTCTTCCAAGTCTACTCCAATTTGAAACTTTTAATGTAATCATTCTATGCATTAAAATATCAAATTGAAAACCACAATCATATCCAATTAATAAATCTGGATCTGCATTATTTATTATTTTTAATAATTCTTCAAGTAAATCTGTTTCTGTTTCAAATTTCATTACTTTGGTATATGAAATATTAGAAAGCATTTCTCGTGCTTGTTTTGGCCAAGGTATATCATGTGGATGTGTAATTACTATATGAAATAATGTCAAAATGAATCATATTAAAAAGTTATAAGTATATAGAATATTTAATTCAAAAAAATCAACATACAACAAAAATGTTGCTGAAATGGTGGTTTTGGTGGTTCTTTATCAATATGATACTTATGATGTATAAGTATTGCAACCATGACTATTTCATTTTGTTGTAATTTAACATTTAGAGATGTTCGTATATTTAAAGTTGTTATTACTAATGGTGGTAATGTTTGAAATTCAGAGAAAACGGATATATTTTCCATCTTCATGCAATTTACCTATTTATATAGATTATTAATGTTTTAATGTTTATTAATAATAATAATAAATTTCAATGAATAAAATTATTATACCTTTATTTTGCACCAACTAGTTTGTATATTATTAGGTAATGGACATTTAATTTCTAGCCAACATGGTCCTTTAATATTTCTTTCTATCAAAAGTAATTCTAAAGCATTTACAGTTGTTCCAAAAACACGCTCTATTGATGGTCCAGAATAATCAGAAGGCATAGGTGGATAATGCGCCGCATATCTTACTTCCAAATAATCAGATATTGCTGGAGTACCTTCTTGCTCAAAAGCATAATGTTTTGTGACTTTGCTGCTTCTAAATTCTTTTATTCCTAATTTATTTGCAAATTGATTAAATTCCTTATATACATCTTCTATTGT